AATTGAAATTCAATTTCACATTATCCCACATCGAATGTCGATAGAAAAATAGAAGATTGTCTCTCCTTTAAAAAGGAACATCATGATGGTAGAAGTCACTATTAGGCTTGCTAGGAAAAATAAGTCGTCCTCAAGTTAGTTCAAAAAAAAACCTTCCTAATTTTTATTAATTTCGGATTTGATTATCGGATCGAATATCCGAAAACATTGCAAATCGGATATGTATTTAGCAATTAAATATCCGTTGGATTATCGAATCGGATAAATTTTCTTATCGGATCGGATCGGATCGGATATAGGCAGATCCGATCCTTTTACAGTCCTAGGTGGATACCTTAATGTACAACTTTCGATGTGCAAGTAGATTTATCTTTATTTATGAACCTTAGCAAAAATATAAGAACGTGGGATTTTAGCATTTATTTCGCAGTTATGTCAAGTAATTCCAGTGGTTTGAATAGTCACCAGCATGAAGGGAGTAGATTCGTTTTAAATGCTAGTCGTGCTTGAATTCTTCCACAACTCGTTTTGAATATTCCTTCTCAATTTCGACAAAATTGTATGATAATACGTGCTTGTGTGACAACTTGCTGCTGGGATCATTTCTTATATAATTGAAATGAAAGTCATCGAGGGGGTCATGCCCTCTCTTGTTTCTTTGTTTTCTATTATGGAAGTGTGCATCGGGGCAAAATTCAATCAAATTAATCGCTGAAAAAGGATCCTCCACTCAGGAGCAATAATCATGGCAGAACTTGCTGTTGGTACAGCATTGCTTTCTATTGAGATCCTCTATCCAGTTCTCAAGCAACATCTGAATCTCAAGAAAAATGTTGAAGATGAAATTGAGAGTTTCGAAGGATGGCTTAGAGCAATGAAAGCCTTCCTTGAGGATAATGAAGACCGTGCTGAATGCAGTAGGTGGCCTCACCATAAAGTGGAACAAGTTCGAGGCATTGCCTATGACATAGAGGATGTTCTTGAGGAGTATTCCCTTCATTCATCCTACATATTTCACAGCAATAAATTCACTCGGAAAGTCTTCGAAGTCAGCCATAATATCAAGCACCACTTTCCACTTCGTGAGATCTCCGGAAAGATCACAAGCATCAAGAAGAAGATAGAAGATATTGGATTACGAGATAATATATTTGATAATAGAAGACCTGCTGCATCAAGCTCTGGCACA